AGTGTCCGGAGGAAGAAGGACAGCTAGAAGGAGAGGAAACGGGACGGAAAGGAAGAGCGAGATATCTCGTGAGAAAGGAGGAAAAAGAAAACGAACGATTTCCTTCGTCACAACCGAACTCGCTTTCGCGAGCATTCCAGGCACGCGTGTACGTGCACATGTTATGTGTGCGTGCGTACATATTCCGGACGTCGCGACGCGGCATTTGTTTTTCGCCTGGCCGCGAGATCACCGACGATATTTTTGAAACTGGTTTAATGCTCGCGACAGGTAGCCGAAGCGCGCGAGTTTGTTTCTGCCGGTGTACGCCCGGTAGTGTGGGACTTGCACCACACGGCGAGTCGCGTGTGTGATATTAATACAAAGTTACCGAGGCGAGCACGCTCGGCAGATTCCACCGGTTGTACCCTAAAACGCGGACTTCCTCGCGAAACTTTCGTCCGTCATTTATTCCGCTCGTGACCGCGGCTCGAAAATTTTCGTCCCTACCGCGAGCTGCACCACGTTTCAGCGCGTTGCATATTTTGCGACAATCCGGATTGCATAATCAGAAGCGTGAATATATAGCATCGTTTTCAATTCCGTGTGTTAATAGAGTCTTACGTTTTTAACATTTTCAAAACCTTTGATTAGAGACTCCGCGAAAGTTATTATTTTTTTTATTCATTTTGTATACGAAACTTCTGAAGTATTTGGATTCTAAAAATAACCCGTGATCATTGGATTCTTTTCATTTGAATCCACAAATTCCCAAATTCTTAATTTGTCAGACTTTGGACCTTCTATCCTTGATTTTTATCGCAACCTGGTATTTATAATCTTTTAAATCATCGAGCGCCGCTGTGACTGATCTCTTCCTTTCATCCGCGGATATATTTAAATTTTAATTTTCGCTACAAAATCGCCACCGGGATATTCCACTATCTGCACTATCTACGGTATACATATCTAGAAACACGTTTGTATTAATTGAGACTCGGATTAACGATCGATCTGGCATTCCGTCGTGATTGCTATCTACCGCGGGCGTGGGGAGAAAAATGCCAATAAATCGCCCGTGTAATGTCGCTATCAACATGTATTACGTGGATGACGCGATCTTTGATAAATCGCCACATGCAAATCACGTCGGAGAGCGGATCGGTTTCTCGGTAGCCTTTCGTGGCTAATTATTACAAATGGACTCTAATCGATTGAACGGGGGGAAAAAAGTATTTGCGTCGTTTACGGCACGCAAAGCGAGATTTTTATTTCCGGAAAACGTTTTTACGCGAGAAACGCGATGATGCGGAAAAACGGGAAACCTCGTGGAACAACACGACACTTTTACATTAGGCTGTTTATCGGTTATGAATCGTTGTATTTAATACTAAATATCGTGTAACTTTTTAGCAATAAAATCTCAGGACATTTAAATCTTTTTTCTAATTCCGAATTCTTTAAGAGTCATGCAATTCTGGATCGTTTTGTTTTGAAATTTACTGATATTATTTTCACTTCCTCTTTTGTAATATATTAATTTTATTGGATCTTTGCATCTTTTTTTGATAATCAAACGCTTAGTAGAAATATTTTTCTTTTAAAATATGAAATAGTTTTGAACCATAATTATCGTTACCAGACTAGATGTTTTTATTTCCTAGTAGAAAATTGATTTTAATCGATAGACCCTTTGATTCAGTGTTGTCAGCTGCACATTAAATTATCTCCCGTGTTCGACACCGATACAGTGACTATTTATGTATTTGTCTTGAACGCGAATGATCGTGGTGAGGACACGTCCCATCGACGAGGTGCGTCCTTACGATTGTAATCTACAATGTGTCGTAAACTCCTACGGACACAATTCGCCGGAATAAAACGTGCGCCCGCATCGAGCCATCATCCTCTTCCCGCATCCCGCGCGACGACGAACAAAATAAATACGTCGGAGGATGCAATTTGTACTCATGAAGATACTTCACATAAGGGTTAACAATCGGCCGGGTTATGAAGTTATGAATCGATTATAGCCGAATTATAAGTAGAGAAACAACTGCTCTCATTTTCAGGACAGCTCGACGCGACAACGGGTGATCGCGGTTCAGGCGGAGCCGACGTTTTCCTTTCATCGCTCGTTGACGCATAGCGATTTTCCTGACTGAGTAAAGCGATGTTCCCGGGGAAATCGAGATAATCGAGTTTCCAAACCGGCCGAGCTCGTCGGAATAAGTTATCCGATCGGACGTACGCACGACAGGTTTATCGGACGGCTGTGTCGCGCGCGGATACGCGTATCCTCGCGTGCGTGTGCAACCGATCACGTGTGTACATATATGCATAATACGTGACCGTCGCGTCCGTTTGCTGCTCGCGTGTGTGCGTTAGCCGGGGATCGAAGCCGGTCCCGCGCGAACGGGACTTAAAAGTCAGGGCCGGCGAGAAGGGCCCGAAATGCCCAAAGACTCTCCCGGGCCACCTGCAGCCGTTAAGTCTCAACAGTTGCGGTACCGCAGCCGCCTCCATATTTCATATTAGCGATAATATATAAGTCCGGCTACCGTCGCACTCTCCCTTTCCCCTCACGTCTTTTTCTCACTCTCGCGCGCTCGGCCTTCCGTCCGTCCGTCCATCCGTTCGTCGCGAGAGGCCCCGCTTCTCGGTCTCTAAGATCATTCCCCGATGTATGCTAACGAGCCCGTCCGACCGGCTCGATTTCGGTAATTAGCGGCCCCGCCGTCCGTCGTCTCGGGGTCTATTGAATTCACATCTGTTTCCGAAAGTGTATTTATACAAATGCGCGTACAAGCGATACGGGATACGAATCTCTTCTAATTTTATGATTCCTCTTTACGCCGCGTAATTTACTCGAGAGCGTAATTTGGATATTCTCACGGCTTACAAGATACGAGTATCGCGTTTTATCTTCAATGTCTGATTAGTCTCTTTGTCTCTCTCTCTTGCTTCTCTCTCTCTCTCTCTCTCTCTCTCTCTCTCTCTCAGGAGTTAATTTTAATCCGAACCATTCCCCGATTCTAATCACCTTGTACGTCTCGTCGCGCGGATCGTCCCCGAGGAAACGGCAAAGGCGGAGGCAAACGCGGGATGCGATGCGCGTGCGGTTGCTCGCGCGTTACATGATACCGTCGCGGGGAATTTGTTTCGTCGCGCCACATTGTTTCGGACAGGAAATCGATACGGAACTTCGCCCCGGCCGTAGCGCCGCCCGCTACCTACGGTATCTACCTGCGACAGAGCGTCTCTCTGGGAAGTAGGATTCCCATACCTGAAACTTTAACCCACCTATCTGCGCGACTTCTCCAAGTGATAACACGTCATATGAGTCTCGAGATATTCGGGGAAAAATTTGCGCAATAACGGAGACACCATCGCTATTCATTCTTATTTGTTTCATTTGAGAATTAAGAGATTCCGAATCGGGTTTTGCGATAACGAGAACGGATAAAATGGTTGCTCTCGCTTAATTTGGAGTGGACCTCGCGGCAGAAATTTAACCAAACGAATTTCCGTTAAGCCGAGCGAATCGGCTTAAAATTCGGTAGCGACTACCACGTTGCCATATGTTGTTTTCTCTCGGCCTCTATATTTATTATCTCTCGTATCCATTAGGAAGATTACACTATGGACCGCTGTGACCCATTTCTAGAAATGTAAAAGTCAAGCGGAGTAAGATAGAGGCGTCCTTACCTTCAACTGATAATCTACTTGCGATAACTGGAGCCAGCGTCCCATCTTGGAATATATTAACGCGCAATTAAGTATAGAGACACATAGGCTAAATAATTACCCAGTAACTTACGGATAAACGGCGACTTAAGGCGCGCGTTCGCACGGAGCGTCGTTGCCGATCGAGGTGATAATCGTATTTTATTGTTATTGGGGGGGGATATCGCGATACACACCGCGCCAATCCCGCTCGTGGAATTCATTATGAGAAGACGCGAAATCAATTTTTCGCGCTTAATCCCGTCGCGAGGAGCGATAATCGAACGGCGGTTCTTGTTCGTTGTTGCAGATCGTACTGAACTCGATGCACAAGTATCAGCCGAGGATACACTTGGTCCGCTGTCGACACACCGACGACAGCGGCTCGCAAATCACCGACCTCCAGAAGGAGGAGCACAAGACGTTTATCTTTCCGGAGGCCATTTTCACCGCCGTCACGGCGTATCAGAATCAGCTGGTGAGTCCAGACGTCTCGTCGAATAACAGTCGATTATACAGTGTAGCCGGGTAGCGTTAACTCTCGACAAGCGGACGATTCGAGAAGACCGACGTGAATATCTGCATCGTGAGATTGACGCCATGACTTTCAGCACGGGGAGTTAAGGTGCCAATTCATGAGACGCTGCAAATGAGCGTCAACAAGGTGAACGTAGTGGTTTCGCTTTGACGCTAGCGTCAAAGAAATGAAGTTGAATTTGTTTAATATTCAGCGTCGTCGCTGAATCGTCGTTAATCGTCCCAGTACAATTAAACATAGACTTCGAAATACGTAAAATATTAATTATTTTCAAGTAATATCTTCAAGTAATAATATTTTATGGATACATATATAAATAAAAGATATTATTTCTGAAGATTTTTACTTGCTAAAAATGAGCGTCGAGCGTTAACGTGAAAAGGCACATTTATAGTTCTTCAAGCCTTCAATTTTTTTATTAAGAAGCGAGATCTTCAGTTCATTGCTTTGGACAGGAGTACCAATCTTCCTTTATTTTCTATTTATTAAAAATTTTTTAACGATTATTAGACGATTTTTAATAATAAATGTTTTTTTTTTTTTAATATAAAATCTTTTTCTCTCTACAGTTGTATCTATTTAAACAATTTATAAGAAAAATATATCAATGGCGGCAGTGTGGTCTAGTGGTAGAGCACCAGACTCGTAATCTGAGAAACCAGGTTCGAGTCCACTAGAGCCATGTAAACATGGAATGTTATTCCGAAAGCTGCGCCCCTCCGTGCAAGATAGGCTCTTGTGCGGAGCAAACTGGGCTCCGTCTTTCGGAAAGAGACGTTAAGCCGTTGGTCCAAAGGGTTAAACTAAGAGGAGAAGGGTAATATTGAGTAAAGGGTTGGGAACGTCCCTACAAAACGCCTTGCAACCCTGAGGGGAGACAATAAACTAAATTTACGAAGAAAAATATATCAGACTTAATGGAATAATATGTTTCTTGCAGATAACGAGATTGAAGATCGATAGTAATCCGTTCGCCAAGGGTTTTAGAGACTCGTCAAGACTCACCGACTTCGACCGGTAAGTTCGAGCTCACGAGGAAAACGTGACATTAATATTTTCTTGGATATCTACTTAAAATCGAGATCTCGAAAAGGTATTAAGGATTTTCGGCTTGAAATTCGCGCCCTTATATCAGTAATTAATCGATCTAATAATTATAAAACTCGATTAAAATATGCCTCAGCTGGCTAGGAGCTAATCTATCTGCGCCGCTCCGTCTCTCCTCGCCGGGGAGTTCCAAACCGCTCGCGCTCGGTCCCGGCGAACGCTTTTCTGCATAGCGGTGTAACGAGCAATCATAGCGTCCATTTATAACGGCCGGACGTTGATCGAGCGGCCGCTAAATTAAAACCTATATTTTCGAATGAAATATCTATAACTCCCGTGTCGGCACGGCGCCGACGTCCTACTGGAAGGGGTTAATTAAAACGCGATTAGAGTGTCAGCGTATACGTCATCCGGCCGACGATTTCCTAGATTTCTTCTCACGCGAATCACCTCCCCGGACCCAGGAACGGATTAATTGCCCTCGAAAAGAGCGCTCGGATGAAATTGTGAGATCGAATGACGATATGGTTCTCCGACATGCGACTGATTATTATCGGACGGCTCTTGAAAATCGCTGTCCGATCGAGGTTTCTCCTTTTCATTTCATTTTATCTCTTCCCAACATTATACGCCCCGCGTTTCAGCTAGCATTCCGCCATTTTACATTTCCGGGACGGGTTTTTGCGCGACCATCCGGCTCGCTTCTTGCATCGCGCTGTTCGCATCGCGAGGATCCGACCTATCGACACGCGGCTCTCCTCTCGATCGTGGCGTCACGGACGATCATTACATCCCATTAGAACGTCGGCACCTTAATCGCGCGCCGCGCCAGCTAAATTATCGCTTAGATCTCTCACGTTCGAGGCGGAAATTTACAACAACGTTAAATGCCGAGGCATGCGAGATCAGCCGCCGAAATGGGCGCGCACACGCGGCCGATTTCGAATTATCCGCGATCATCTATCTGCATGAATGACGACGCACCTGCCCGGCCGTGCATTCCTTCTCTTGTCCTCCCCTTTCCGCGTTTACGGCTACGAGGTGGATACACGCATGACGGAGAAAAATATATATATTTATGTATATACGAATGTACATTCCTTATGTTCAACGCCGCCGTCATCGCGAGATCATCTTTGATGCCGACATTACGCCGCCGTTGTTAACCGATAACTGTACGATTAATCGATTATATTATCAATGTTGTTCGCCCGTCATCGTGCCTGCATAATAAAGAGCATTTTATTTTTTGTTTGATATAATTCGTTCGTATTTCAACAAGATATTCGGATTTTTTGATCCCAGAACTCAAACAGACGTGAGAAATCACTGATATTATTTACAAAGGAATCAATTTGGATTTTATTGATCTTAAGAAGTGAGATTTATTGTTATAAACTAAAGAGGTCTACATCCAATGGATGTATGAATATGAACTGCAGAAAACATAAGACAAAGATAGATAAAACGTAACTTAGAAAGTCAAGGAATTCCAAAAATTTTTTTAACTAATTTCGACATACAATATTAATTGGAAGTGTAATTTAGAGATAGAACGTTAAAACAAATTAGCATGGATAATCAATTAATTTTACGCAACAAGACGTATCTCTCTTCACATTGTTATAAACTACGGCATCGTATCAAGATCGAGAATTTTACGTTCGACTTCCATCAGGCTTTTCGCTGGCAGCCTCACCGTTTAAAAATTGATTAGCCTGCTCCGAAAGAAGGTAGGGGCTTCGGTCGCGGGATCTCGGATTCGGTACCATATTTTACGAAAAACCGTCTGGTGCTCTCGCACCGCCCACCGATCCTCAGAAATATATTAAGGAACGCGGCGCGCGTTAAGCGAGGCAGGACTCTCGTCACGCCTCTTCCAATTTGCACGTGATCGCAGCTGGGCCGCTCGGAGATGCCGCACTTTCACGAAAAACTCCCGGTTCGGAAGAGGGCACCTATCTTCCCGCGCGAGATCGTTTCGCGATTAATTAAGCTCATATTTCAGAACGCCGCCGCTCGTAACTCGCGCAATTAATGCGACCGTGTTTTTTCGGTCCCCCGAAAAATCCGCGACATGAAACTCGGCCAGACACGACCGCGCTAATGACCCTCTCGATCGGCACCGAAAACCTTAACGGCGCATTTAAGTGTTGCGATTACCGCCTCATTACGATCGGATAAACAATTTAATTGCGTTTCGCCTCTCGCGGAGCAGGTGTCTCACGACAGGTACGCGAACGGTCTCGCGATCGCTAAAAACGATGAGAGAAGAATAAACAAAAACAAAAAAAATGAGAGCGCGCCCGAGAAAGGGTGGAGCAAGAAAAAAAGGAAGAAAAAAAGATACACAATTTATATTAAAGACCAACTAAGACCAACTTAATTCCCGGAGAACATGCACGATGCTTCGGATAACACAGATAAACTTAAATAGAATAATTTTGAATGTAAATTTCTCCGTACGTGAAGCCTTAATTTTCAGTTATTAATTCTTTCCTGTATCCTAAGGATACAGGATAATTATTAAATCTTGGAGGCTTAATTCTGAATTTATGTATTCTGAACAAAGGACGAAACCTAAATTCTTGCGATTTTCAACCGCCAACTCTGAAACTGTAAACTCTGAAGTCTGAGGCTGCTATCTCTCAACTCTTACCTTGTCGCGTGAACGACGTACTTCCGTCACAAATGCATAGTCAAATAGACGCGACATTAAGCGAGCATTAACCTAACGCAGGCAATCTCTCCAAGAATTGCGCGACAAAGTTTATTCGAGATTAAATAGCAGAAGGAGCGGAAGAGAGCGAGGTAACGGAGAAGGAGCCTGGAAACACGGGCGAGAAACGAGAAGCTCGCATTAGGGAGGGAAGAGACGACTTTATTGGGTGTCCGTTATCGATTCGCGGACACGCCGTATATACGGGTCGATTTGCATAAAAACCTTGCATCGCGAGGCTCCGAGAGATCGCCGCGAGTCGACGCCGTTAACAATTTAGTGGGCGTTGCTCGCGTCGATGCGCGCTCCGGCTACCGGCGTGTCGTTCTTACTTATTAAATGAAGCCGAACGGCCCGATAACCGCCTGACCACGAGGAGAAGTCAGTCCGCGGCGCGCGAAGAGGCGATCGACCGAGAAAAACCTACGAGCCGACGGCCAGCGGCGAGAGAAGAGGGGTCCAGGACGCGCGCGGGGCACCGGACGAGAGGGAACGACGATAAAAGTAACGCGGCTTTTAATTACGGACCGATTTCAGCACCGTCGTCCCGCTGCGCGCCCTTGGAGCGAATATTATTAAAGCGATGCCCTTCTCCCGGGTGCCGGGTTTATTGTCAAGTATGCGCATCGGATTATCGTCTCGCGCACATCCTTTTTGCTCGCGTCACCCCGACCGATCCTGCGCGCTCCGCGCGCTTCTCCTCTGCATCGCGCCCCGTCGCCGTCGCCGCGCCGCACCGGGCCGGCGAGGTCGGTCGTTAAAAAATTAAGTCGCGCGAGCGCGTCCGGCAAAAACACGCGAACTTCTCGTTTACGATTATTAATAGCCGAAGCGCGCGATCTTCCCACTCGCGAACCAGCGTGCTCGCCGCTCGGACGATCTGCGCGTGGCGCGCAGAAGGAAGTTCCCCGGCGTGATGGATCGAGCCATACGTGCGATATTTTCATGTACGAGTGCTACCGCCCTGGGCGTATATCAAAGCGAATTTATGCCGCTTCTCTATTAAAAGGAGGCGTGCGTGGGAAGTGCGGCGGAAAACGCGGGTCCAAGGATCGCGGGATGCAAACACCCGGAGGTCGCGATAAATTTATGATAATGGCCTTCGGACTCCGTGAATGCTAAAATCCTTGGTCTCTAAGATCTCTAGATCACGAGTGTTTAAGGGTCAGTATTTTTCTATCAGTTATTCTCGGGTTTTAAGGGGCTCGTGCTCTTGAACTT